CATTGCAGCTGTTTTGAAAATACCATGTGTTTAGAATGATTCTTTCAGAATGTCGGAAAAAATATGAGCAAGTCCTGCAAGATTCGTTACATCAACAAAGTCAGGGTTAAGCAAACCCAGTATTTCATAACATAACGAACCTGAGACATCTTGTGTTTCAAGCATATTAGTCGGTATTGTCTTGTGATCCGTGCACTCAGAAGAAATAATGTCTGAGGTTAATTGCAGCTGAGGATCTTGTTGAGTAGTTTCGACCGTGAGGGAAGTATCAGAAATAATTCCATTATGCTGCTGATTGGGCCGTATAGTGACACTTGCATCTTGGGATAGCTTACTAGCAAGTCGGAACGTACGTGCATCTTCGACGGGCGCAAAAACCGTTTTACGTTTAATTGAACGAAAACGACGTTTAATTTTGCTGCGTAGACTCTTTGCCATTTCAATACCTATTTGTTTTTATTGAAGTGAAATAAACAAACAATAAGGTTTCGTTATCGTTGTGAACTTTAAAAAATTCTGTATGGAACTGATGAATTTAAGACGATAAAAAATTGGAGTTGAATTTAAGACGATAAAAAATTGGAGTTGATGAAAGACGATAAAAAATTTAAAAAATTTTTTTGAGCGCAGACGATGAGTTATAATGAGTCATCGGCCATCGAAATTGTAATTGGTCCGATTGTAAATTCTAGCTGCGGATTATCCAAAAAAATTTTTGAAAAAAGATTATGTTTAAAAAATTCTACTTTTCGTGTTCCCTCCTTTTACCAAAGTTTCATCGATTTTATTCCTTAAATTATTCGAAAACTTTTCCTACCATTAAAATGGCACAATTGACTACGACTAACAATAATTGGCCTGTTGCAAAGGTTCGATCAACTTTTATATCATACTTTGAGTCAAAGGGTCACAAGTATATACCTTCTTCCTCCACGATCCCCTTTGAAGACCCAACTTTATTATTTGCGAACTCGGGAATGAATCAGTTTAAATCTATATTTTTGGCAACAGTTGACCCAAATTCAGAACTTGGAAAGCTTAAGAGAGCGGCCAACAGCCAAAAATGTATTCGTGCAGGTATTAATTTTACGATATATTGAATAGCTTAGCTCATTTGACGATTATGAAATAATATAGCATGTCTATCCTACGCTTGAATTATAATAATTTTTCTTAGGTGGAAAACACAATGATTTGGAGGATGTAGGGAAGGATGTATATCATCATACATTTTTTGAAATGCTAGGCAATTGGTCATTTGGCGACTATTTTAAGGTTTGTACTAAAACAAACGTTGAACACTCTACAGTTAGCTTATTCATCTATACGAAGCTCTTAATAATTGATACATATATATTAGAAAGAAGCTATTTCTATGGCGTGGGAACTCCTCACAGAGGTGTACAAATTACCAAAGGATCGGCTTTATGTCACTTATTTTGAAGGTGATGAGAAGATGGGATTGCCTCCGGATTTGGAGGCAAAGAGTTTATGGATTGATGTGGGAATAGAAGAAAAGAGATTAATCCCTGGAAACTCTAAAGACAATTTTTGGGGTAAATCATATCTGCAAGATTATATGATAAAAATATGGTTTTAATAGTTTTTTAATTTATGCAACATAATTTCATCTACTTTGCGTTTTTTATTCTGTTTTGTAGAAATGGGTGAGACTGGTCCTTGTGGTCCCTGTTCAGAAATTCATTACGATCGTATTGGTAATCGTGATGCTGCACATTTAGTTAACCAAGATGATCCCAATGTGGTCGAAATTTGGAATTTAGTCTTTATGCAATTCAATCGTGAATCAGATGGTTTACTTCGTCAATTGCCAAGCAAACATATTGATACGGGCATGGGATTAGAACGTCTCGTTTCAGCTTTACAAAACAAATATTCGAATTATGATACAGATATTTTCTTGCCCCTATTTAGAAAAATTCAAGAGTTAACCGGTGCAAGACATTACTCCGGCAAAGTTGGCGTAGATGATGTTGATGGTTTGGATATGGCATATAGAGTAATCGCAGATCATGTACGCACCCTGACATTTGCAATTTCAGATGGCGGTGTACCAAGTAACGAAGGACGTGGTTATGTACTGAGAAGAATTTTGAGACGTGGTGCGCGTTATGCTAGGAAAAAATTTAATGTGGCAATTGGCCATTTCTTCTCAAGCCTTGTAGATACGGTTGTCTGCGAAATGGTATGTGCAAACGCATTCCTAGGTTGAAGGCTTGAGGCTATTGCTTCATATTAGATTTAGTAGCATAAATCGCATAAATCTTTCTTTAATTTCATTTAATTATCACGTTATTTATCATGTTATGCCAGGGCGAAGCTTTCCATGAAATAACAAAACATGTTTCTAATGTTAAAGAGATACTTGATGAAGAAGAGGAATCATTCTCTCGTACATTGGATCGTGGTGAAAAGCTCTTTGACACTTATTTGCAAAAAGCCAAACAAAATGATACCACATCACTTCCGGGCGCTGATGTTTGGCGATTGTATGACACTTATGGATTTCCAGTTGATTTGACACGATTAATGGCTGAAGAAAATGGTCTCGGAGTGGATGAGCAAGGATTCTTGCAAGAACAAGAAAAGGCTAAAGAAATAAGTCGCAATGCCCGTAATGCTGGTGCTGATGATCGTGAAATTGTAGCCCTGGATATGCATGATATCGCAAAGATAGAACAGGATAAAATTGCTAATATAACCAACGATAATTTCAAGTACCGTATGTATTAAATGTTCTGGTTAATAGCATCTGTTCGATAATAATTTATTTATTTTAATTGTACAGAAAGTGGAAGTATAAAAGTCACTGTCAAGGGCATTTATTATAATCATTCATTCTTTCCGAATACTGATGATATTCCGTCTGGCAAATCCTTCGGCATAATTCTTGATCGTACGAATTTTTATGCAGAACAAGGCGGTCAACAGTATGACTCTGGTTTTATCACTATTGATACTGTTGATGCTCAAGCAGAATTTGAAGTTAAAAACGTACAGGTGTTCGCAGGATATGTCTTGCATATAGGGTGCCTAATATATGGTAGATTTACCGTTGAAAATGAAGCGGTAGCTTCATACAATGAAGTACGTAAAGTCATTACATCAGATTGATTTTCACTATTGATTAAGCCATGATTTATTTTATTTCATAAAAAGCCGCGTCGTAAGCTACTCATGAATAATCACACTGCTACACATATTCTAAATTATGCATTACGAGAAATTTTTGGTAATGCAATTGATCAGAAAGGATCACTGGTTGCCCCTGAAAAGTTAAGGTTTGATTTTTCACTGAAGGTATTTATCAGTTCATTTCATATAACGAATAAAATCGAACTTTATCAATAACTTATTTTATTCTATTGATATTTTATGATAGAAAGGTGTCTCGAACGATGAGCTAGCTCATGTAGAGTCAATTTCAAATGAATTCATTAAAAAGAATAAAATTGTATATTCGAAGGATGTTTCGTTATCTGTTGCGAAGGCTATTCACGGACTTCGTGCCGTATTCGGTGAGGTCTATCCTGATCCTGTTAGAGTAGTATCTATAGGATATGACGTGAACGATATCGTGCAGGATGTATCAAATCCAAAATGGGGTGATACTTCGATAGAATTTTGTGGCGGAACGTAAGTATCAAATACAATTTGATGATTTATTGTTAGCTTCAGTTGCTTATTCTTTTGATTTGTTTAAATTAAGTCACGTTGCAAAAACCGGAGATATCAAAGGTTTTATTATTTTGGAAGAATCTGGCATTGCTAAAGGCATTCGTAGAATAGTTGCTGTGACTGGAGAAGAAGCTCAGCAGGTATTCATATATATCTCTAATATATTCAAGTTTTGTCATTTCTAATTTACGTCGTTCTATCAATAGGCAATTAAGGTTGCTGATGAATTCCGAATTAAAATTGATAATATCTCAAAATTACAAGGGGCTGAATTGGATTCTGCACTTAAACTAGTATCAAAAGAACTTGATGCTTCAAATATATCTTCACTAAAAAAATCAGAATATCGTGAAACATTAAATGAACTAAGAAAAGCCTTTAATGATTTTGACAGAGCCAAGAAAGCTGCTCAAACAAAAGAGGTATTTATTATATACTTCATATTTACACATATTATATATGATTTCGACTTGTATAAATACTGACTTGTACTAATCAATGGCTTTGAAATTAGGTTATAGACATAATAAATCATTATTTTGAAAAAAATCCTGACAGTTTATATATAATTAAATTACTAGATGTTGGATCTAACACAAAGGTCAGAATAAACTCATCAAATTACTTAAAATATCAACTTTTATTATTACTATTATTGATGTTTTATCATATCATGTTTATAGGCTATCGCTGGTGGTATTTCACACTGTAAGGCAAACCTGAAAGACAAAGCTGCCTACTTATTTTCAATTGATGAAACTTCAAGCCGTGTAGCTCATAGTTGTATTGTGGGCAAGTCTTTAATTGATAAAGGATTAAAAGCAGTTGATTGGGCTAAAGTCGTGTCTGAAAGCGTTGGTGGAAAGGTATGTAGAATATTATTTTTTATTTTTACAAATTTATTTAATCTATTTTTTTTAATTTATTGTTTTTAAAGTCTGGAGGTAAAGATGATGCTGCCCAGGGTAGTGGAACAAATGTTGGTGAAATTGATAATGCACTAAAAGTTGCGGAACAATTTGCTAAACTTCAATTGTCATCATAAATTGTATCATTAATAATAATTATACATAATTAGGAGTATAATATTTGATTAAATAAATGTATTATACACTATATACAGTATATATAATTTATGTTTGTTGTCTGTTTATGATTACTGAGTTACACTAAATTTTTTGTTTTAAAATATAGTTAGTATTGTCTAAATGCATACTATTTAAATGCATATACTATTTAAATATTTCGATATATAGTGCAAAAAATTTTAACTTAGGCCATGCAAATTAAATTAGTTGTTTCTCGTTTCATAGGACAAGCTAATAGGACCCGGCCGGCCGGCAAAAAATGGTATATTTAAAAATTTGTTTCATATAAAAAAATTTTTATAAATTTTTTTTTTTTATACAAGAATAAAAAATTTTATATAGAAAAAATTTTAGCATTTTCTAAGCTACCCGGTCGGGTAACGAGAAACAATTTTATTTGTTTGCGCAGCCTTACTAATATATAGTAATAGATGATTTTTTTAAAATCTATTAATTTTAAAAAATTAAAATTTTAAAAACTAAGGTTAGGCCATACCAACTTAATAAATCGGTTCTCATAACCCGGCCGGGTCAAAATTTACAAAACTCTAAAAAAAAATTTCAAGTATACTTACTATCCGGGTGAGTTTATTAAAAAAATCTATAAAAAATTTTATGTTTTTTATATATAAAATTTTTTGAAAATAAAATAAAAAGCCGGGTTGCCGGGTCACTTTTAAAAATTTTATGTTATGAGAACCGATTTATTAAGTTTGTATGGCCTTATATAAAAAAAATTTTTTGGCTTTCATAATATAGAACTGTTTAAACAGACCCGGCCAGCTGGCTTTTTATTTAAATTTTATATATAAAAAGTTTTTTAAACTTTTTTTTTTTTAAAGGTGAGGCCTTGCTTATATCTTTATTAATAATTTTTAAAATAGTAACTACATGGAGTTGCTAACCTTTATATATACCAAGGTGAATAGAAGTAAAAATTACATGTAAGAATAAAAGCTTAGATTATTTTATTTGTGATTTAAACCTACTAGAGTAGTTAGAGACTCACCTAGATTTGAATAGTTAAAATATTGTTAATAGATATATGGTACAGTCATCCTTCCATAAAATTACACAGTTGGGCACATAGTAAACTTTTTTCAAAATGTGCTTATATAGGAATTGTGCTTATATGGAGGTCTTTTTTTTATAAATTAAATCATAGTTTGGTTCAAACACAAATGTGATTACATATGATGTGATTATATGGAAGGTGACTATATAGAGGGATGACTGTATTTGATTTAATGAATAGACTAGAAATTAATTTTTAAAATATTTTGCCCAATTGGTGAGCAGATATTTCTATTTGTATGCTGTTAATCATGTATACTACAAGAGCAGAAATAAGTGTACTTAGTACAATTATAGTTAGAATTGGTGATTTGAATCGGTTAGGCTATAATCGATTAATCGACCTGAACTAAAAAAAATCAAATTTTTTTAAAGAAATTTTATATGTGAGAAAGAAGTTTTTTAAAGATTTCTCAAGAACCACCAGACCGATTTTAATGTTCTTACTATTATTAGATACATCTTGATAAGCTTTACAACTTTTGTTACAAGCCCAAGGGTGATTTACTTAGTAAAAAAAAGTTTTAGATAGAAGCACTGCACATTTAAGCTTATAGTAAAATTTATATATAAAAAAAAATATTTGATTAAGTAACTCATGATTTGTCTATTAAGTGATATAATATGTCTTAGAAATAGTAATTTTTGTATTCAAAAATTATATTTCTTAATATTCAACCATAATTTGGTATATCTGATTCTAGTAAGGATTTCACGAAGATGTTGCAAATATTCATCAAAAGTTTTAGAGAATACAATAGTATTGTCTAAATATACTACTACAAATCTCTATACAGAATTTCATTTATTTAGATTTTGGAGGATTGGCAGTTCGTCCAAAAGAAGTTTTAGTTTGAAAGCCTTTAGTTTGGAGTGGGTTGGATGTATTTGTCAAGATGTTAGTATATTATTATAATTAATGAATACATATGGGGGGGAGTCAGTAGAAATGGGACAAATTATTTTTAGTGAATTTTTTTTAATTTTTAAATTACAATTTCTTG